AACATTTCTGGTACATGGTACAGATGCTAATACAAGATGGCAAGTAGAACCATGTTGAGCATTAATAGACATTATTATAACATGGACATCCAACATGCCATGCTACAGCCAATAGCCATATTTATCACATGACAACATGCTGTACTTGGTAAGTTGTGAACTTGGGATCACTTGAATCAAGGTACTTGGCACACATGCAAATATAAGATGGCAAGTATGCCAATGCAACATGTATAAATCAACATGCACATCCAACATGCGAACATGGCAGTACTCACAAATTCTGATACATGTACACATGCTAAAACAAGATGCCATGTCCAACCAAAATAGTACATGTTCCAATCTAGAATAAATCTTGAATTATCACTTGCACATTCAACATGCCATGTTGAGCCAGATGCTCCGTCTTTCACATGCTAGACCAGTAGCATGTTGTCAGAAAGGTACTTGCTAAAATATTGCCATGTTACTAACAAGTATATGCCAAGTGACTGCATCTTGTAGATATTACCACTTGGCACATGGCAGAACATGGCATGTTTGGACCCGGTGGCCATAAATGCATTTCTTTTAAGTGTTACTCTGACCATTATGGCCGTTCCAGGGTTAAGAAACATGTTTTATGTTCTAATCTGGATTACAGTACCCTGAAACCCTGAGGGTTAGCATAGCAAGAAAATTCTTGCCTCTGAGAAGCAAAAATAAATATACAGTAACCTGTGTATATTGAACATTTTTTGCAGAGAAAAAACGTTCTGTGTTGGTATGTGTTCATTACAAAGAGGGTAATTTATACAGAGGTCGGTAGAATATGTGTGAAAAAACGGTGTCCACTAGAGAGAGGTGTTCACTAAGGCAGGTTTTACTTTACACGTACAACATTTTTGATCTCATTGAAGTAGTTTTTGTGGCATCATGTTTTTGTTTATTTTGGATTGCTTGTGGTTTGGCTCTTATTTTGATGTTTCTCTGACATGTTATTTTCGAAAACTTCTCCAGCCTGAAACTCCCTAAATTACAAGAGGCCACAGGTTTACTGCATATATTAGGTAATTTATCTAAAAATACACAGTTTTGTGTTCATTTTTCCATCTTAAATTACACTATGGCCTTCGTTTTATTGATCGCTTGTTTCTTCTTTATGTCACAACCTAAAGAGCTACTAGACAAAGAACTTTCTCCAAGTTAGAGTATAGATAAGTCAAGATCTAACCAAGGGTAACTGGTAACTAAAAAACTAATGGTAGGAAAAGGAATGAAACATAAATTGATTAATTTATTTACTTAATAGAAACAACTTGTTTACTCCTTCCAATATGATTCACATTTTCATTTCCCTCCTCTAAGCAACTGTGTTACACAAACCATCATTGAGATCCGATGTGTTCCTAAAATAGTTGCCCATGAAGAAGTTGTCATAGAAATGTTGTTTAAATCTAAATCTTATTGAATAGACAGGGAACGGAACTAAAGTAGATCAACATTATTTTTTTCGTTGTTTTATCATTCTATGACTGAAATGCAAGAAAGTCTTTGAAAGTCTAAACAACAAAGGGAGTAAAACATAAATATGACCGAAACAAAATTTCAAACACAAGCGATTTTCTCATCTTGTACTCTTCTGCAACATTTAGCACCTGGTACAAGTCAACATCATTTTTTAACAATTTCTGTTCAATGTGAAAATGCAATCTTCATTGTAGGATGTCTGATGGTAGTAAAGATTCAGTGATGAGACTATCAGTTCATGTTGTTTAGTGATGTTTGTTGTTCCTTAAGGTGCCTATTATACTGTCAGATTTATCCTTGGAATATCTCCCTACACGACTAAAACCCTTTACTGAGTGATATCATTTTTGAATTAAAGGGATGTAGAAATCCAGCTCACCTTTGATTTTGTAGCAAATATAAGTTAAATGGTGAATGAATATAAGTTCAATGTCAGTGTGCAGATCTTTCTGTTATACTTTGACCATGAATGGCAGAAATGATATAGTATATTTACACAGTATTTTTATTTTACATCTGTTTATTTTCCATCCTCTCTTGGGATTGTTTTCAAACATGCCAGTTGTCTCCCTTCAATCAAAGAGTTATCACATTAGTTGGAATAAGTTTGGAGGTTTTCACTTGATTCAGTTACCTAAATTTCTATCTCTACAGGAGTCAAATATTACAGATCTTCTTCATAGAGAATTAGAGATTATCTCTTAAAATGGGTAATCTTAACATATCTTCTTTAAAAGGAACAACTCAATGGAGCTTTATAGATCATCTCTTTATCAGGGTCATCTAAACATATCTTCTCTTTACAGAGCTCATCTTAACAGATATTCTTAACAAGAATCATTTCAACATATATTCTAGGCCTCTAGTCAGGGAGGGGGGGGGACTTGAACTCCCTTGGCCAAAATGTCTTTCAAAATCATCCAGTTTGTCACTATTCTGAGTGATTTTGGGCCAAAATTATCATATGGAATGTTTTTTTTTGAAAATTGAACCTCTCTTTCTTGTATGGTCAGTTTGGGATATTATACATTTATATTCATATGTCAATCTGGGTATATAAGTATATTTTTCTGTTAATTAAGAATGCATATTTTGTGCAAGTCCATCTTTTGTATTGGCTTTGCCAATTTACAGTGGGAATTAGAAATAGTGGACATGTGTGAACAGACATCATTTCTATTTTTTCATCCTTTGATTTAAAAAACGTATTTAAATGAAAGTAAAATTCTAAAATGGCAGAAACAGTTTTATTTGGCCAGAGAGTATTTTAAACTTGCGAGAATGAACATTTTACTTGTAAGAGGCTTATCTTTACAAAACAGTACTGCGGGTATGACAACCAAGTCATTTTGACTTTTTACTTTATTTTACTCTTCTTGACATTAACCCCAATTAATTGGCCTAGCTAATGCTCATGGTCGCTTTAGTAGGAAAATAAGGTTTCATTTGATTTTCTAGATTTATGTACCTTTAGGTAAAACAATTAGATACAGCTATAACATACATTACCCTGCTCTATCTAATTAACTCAAGACTTTTATGATATTGCAAGGTATCCTAGCAAGACATTCAGGAATTATTGACCATGGTTTTATCACATTTTAAAAGTACTTCTGTATATTGATGTCGCCTTGTGCTAATGGGCATGCGGGTAGGCAGTATGAAATCTCGTCAACAAAATAGCAAAATCAATCATCTGTTTTGCTTTAGGTTGTTCTCAAAAAGACTTGTACCAAGATCTGATTATGGTCTGGACATGCTGGGTAATTTATAAGGTGGCCATACTGCTCTTCCTCTGTGAAAGTTATCATGAATCTATGTTATGTCTTATGGATTATGTCTTCAACCATGTTCAACCATGTCTTATAGCTAATCATATCTTGAGTGCTATTTTTATATAACCAGAAATGAGGAAATATTCCTACTTTTTTTTATTATGGGTCCATTTGAAAATGTTATCCCTTTTTGAATTGAGGCTCAAATGAAACATATTGTAACCAGTAATGGTTAAACATATATACAGTCAAAATTCAATAATTTATATTTCTTTATATACATGTATGTAGCATCCTATAATAATTATTGTGCATCAATTATCTGTAAACCTGCTTTTTTATTGTTATTTTTGGTTCATATAGTGGGAATGAGATTGACTTGGTGTCCTTGTGTTCTAGTGTTCTAGTGTTATTAGTCCATCGATCCATTTGCCTATCAACATTGATGGCATAGATGAAAACTGCTATTTTATATTAGGTCTTATCTCACCTGTTACCTGATAATTGTTTATAATATATATACATGTATATACACAGTATTTGAGAGGTTATTTATCAGGTTACCATAGTTTCTTTAAAACCAACCAATCAAACATTGGAATTTTTATGTTTTGGGCATACTCAGTAGTGTTTTGGGAATGCCTGTACCAAGTTTCACGAAGATTGGTATAGCAGTATTGAAATGGCAACATCTTTGACATTATATCTATATCACCCTGTATATTGTGTTTGAACAATGTTATGAGAGGTTATCGTTATTTTCTATCCTCAGAAAGAGCAGAACCTGATCAACACTCTCTAATCAGAATATACTTTTAATCGAAATCCAAATCAATAACCAGAAGATGACTCTACATTTTCTACAAATAAGTAGCTGACATTTATTTCATATTTAAATATCCATTTGAGATTGCAAAGATCATATCAGCATCATTATAAAAGCATTAAAGATAGCAAGAGGGTATTATTGTTAGTCAATACAGATACAGGGTAGCTGCCTTGGGGAATAGCCTCCTGATATACTCTATGGTCTATTGTAGGCTTTATATAGGTGATATTGACCAATTGATCTGTATTGGTGGTATAATCAGAATATCAAATGTTCTCGTATATATTTAGAAATGAGACTCAGCTGTTTCATTATTGTTACCATGGCAATTAAGTATAACAATAAGAAATCATGTATCACTTATCTACGCCAGTATATGTATTATATGCATGTATTCTGAAAATAATATCACCATTGTAGTCTTTCATTAGATCTCTGAACACCTGTCTTCTCTCTACTTCAACTCCTGATAGCTATGGAAGTGCACTAGTCATGTATACAAGGGGGGGGGGGGGGGGCTCACAAAAACTTGGAGCAAGATTTATAAAAAATATAATATATGTATGTAATGCCTTGGTACATCAAAATCATAATTCACTTTGGGGTATTCTACCAACAGAGGTTCATTTCATATTTAGTAAAAAGATAAAGGGACTTCAAAAAATGTTCTATTTATGAGGGTATTCAGTCTTGTAGAGGTGTATTTATTACATTATATTACATTCCAATGAGACCTGTAAAGTGGAAGACTAAGAGGTGGAACACCTCTGTTAGTAGAAGTCCCAAGACCACCTGCCAAGTAGAACACTTTTTAGCAGTACCAAATGTGTTTCACTAAGAGAAGTTTTACTGTATATATTATTTTGTATTTTTTATACTTTCAGGAGACCTTACATGCTAACTCTCCTTCACCACCGTGTACTAATCGCTGTGAATCACGTGCATCTCTCATGTCCTCCTCGGTAGATATATGTCGTATTTGCCACTGTGAGGCTGTCCCGGAGCAACCGCTCATTACGCCCTGTGTTTGCGTCGGCAGTTTAAAATTCGTCCACCAAGCCTGCCTACAGCAATGGGTGAAAAGTGCTGATACAAAAAGTTGTGAACTTTGCAAATTTAATTTTATAATGACGACACAAATTAAACCACTGAAAGAGGTAGAGTATTCTTTTTATTGTTGTTGTATAAACTGTAGATTGAGTTAATTTGGCATCACTTAATTTGGCAATTTTGCCATTTTTGCATATTGCCGTCTATTTAATTTGGCGTACACTAGGGCTTGGATATTGCTCTGACGCCATAACTTCCATATACACTGGGCTAAAATACAAATTGTTATACACCTTGAATTCAACTACATGTACTCCTCAATCTAGCTTGTAATTTATTATTGAAAGGATTCCCCATGGAAATGCTCAATCATTTAAATGTTTGATCAGCTTATCCTTTTCAGATTTTGCAAAAACTAAACTGGAAGTAACTTAATGTTCTCTGAAAAATTCCCAGTGATCATTTCTAAATTTTGGCGAAGATTTAAATTGGCATTTTTTCTATTTCTCCAAATTCGCCAATTTTAAGTGGGCACCAAATTAACCCAATCTACAGTAAATAAAATACTGGTTATATGTTTTGTTTGGTGGAATTTGCAGGATTAATACATTGGCTCATAAATTGAAAACCTTTGGATATGATGTCATGTGTGTCTGCACAATGTCTAAGAATAGTGATAATATATATGTATTATTTACAAAGGAAATATTCATGGTGATCAATTCATATTAAACCATCCCACGTAATGAGTTTCCCATCGGATACAAAGATGTGTTAAATATAATGTCTTACCCCTATTGGTGACAGACTATTGGTGACAGACTAGCCCTATTTTTATGTCAGCACTTACGGTGGTGGAAGTGGTAGGATGTTACACATAGGGTGTAAAATCTTTTAAAAATTATGTCAATTATTTTTACAATTCTAATTTTTTCTGAAAAGCAATAGGGATAACTGATCAAATATAAAAGTTATTGAATAGTTAACATTGGTGATGTCCAAATTTTTCAATATTGAAAAAAAAGGATGCATTCTTTTTAATATTTTGCCAGAAAACCATAAAAATGTCAGTGTTATCCTGAAATAAAGCCATATATTTTGAGTGTGTTTTCAAAATACATGTAGACATGACATAGAAATTATAGAAATTGTGATAATTTTGGGGACTTTATTCACATTCGCAACTCTATTCCTTTAGTCCCTCCAAGCATAAAATCTCTGATTTATATAACTATGATCTATCTAATGAAACATGGATTTTCATGCCGAATTCTTTATTACACATGGGTGTTCCCAGCAATCTTTGATCCATGAGACAAAATATTTGCATGAATTACCCATTTGTGATCAGGATATCCCTATCCCTATGCTTCTTGAGTGACTTATGTTTTTTTATTAAAGCTTCTTGAAATAACATTTGCTCAATAAGCAATGCATTACCTAATTATAATATAAATTATTCATAATAAGTATGTTTACCAAAATATGTCATTTTATACATCACGATATGATGATAAAGCGAAGCTAAGGTATGTTTACCTTTGCTTATGGAGAGCGCATATTGCATCATGACGCATCAGACAAGAGAATCAGGATTCCTAATACTCATTATCAACATAAATATCCAATTATTTCTGGTTCAGTATAAAAAGTATTATGCGATCAAAGCTCTGTAATCTTGGCACTCATTGAATATCAGTATCATGTTTAACTTTATCTCTGATTGGTCGATCATGGGTCACATGACATGAAGACTTTATTCCATTGACATGATTATCTGTGCATCATCTTGTCTCAAGTTAATAATGATGCCCAGTGAACATGTCACATGACCCAGTTTTAACCAATCATAGAATTGAAAGCTTGACATTGATATAATAATAAAAGTTATTCAATGATTTTTGTATATATAGTGAGAAAATTTAACTTTTTCGAAATTCCTGCATAACGATCGGCCCATGTGATGTAAAAATACTTCTATGGTAAAGAATCTGTATTCCTCTGTGGCATTTCTTTATTTATCATAAAAATACATACATTTTCAAGTGAAATCTGTTATTCCATGGCATTATACCACAGTACATGTAGTTATCAAGTACTATACACTTTGCACTTGATATAACATACAGTATAATATAATAGCAATAATAACAGTTTATCTTTCAGTTATTGTATGATTGTATATAAAATTGATTTTTTTTTATTTTACTGTTAACTGTTAACTCTATGTGTAAATACCAGTATAACAATTGAATATTCTTTTACAAACAACATTGTTAACCCTATATATAAATATAATAGTAAAGATTATCAATTTTCATTGGATTCCTCATATCAATACCAGTACTGATCTATTCCTTATTAGTCGTTTATCACCGCCCTATATCTAGGTATACATATTCACTCCTATTGTAATCAATTTCCATTGAATCAGCTTGGTTGTCTAGTGAGTAGGTGTAGCCATTTTATGCTGTAAATGCCATTTACAAGACCCCATCTTTGTCCTTACTTTGGTTAAAGTAGATAGGAGGGGGTGTCCAGGGACTTGCAGCAAGACTATTTTTAATGCAACATTTTAGGATTTTGTAACTTTTTATGGAACATTTTAGGTTTTGTAATTTTTTTACAACATTTTGGGATTTTCATTTTTATTGTAACATTTTTAGGCAAATTGATTTAATGGAGGAACCTTTTGGTTATGAAATACCTGGAGGTAATGCGTCATAGAGATTTCAATGCAGTGAGAGCACTGCTGTATAAAATCTGACAATATATAATCAGTTTTACATTGCACTACATTTTCTGCTTATAAGAATTATCTTACATTCATTTCACATTTAGAATCTCGTAGAAGTCAATAGATGCTTCATTTGAGATTGTTAAGATCAGCTCTTAATGCTCAAATCATTGATAACACTCAGAGGATAATTTGAGTTAGCTTGTATTCGCAAATGCTACTAGGCTGTCAGCTACCGGATTAATCTACAATTTTAAGACTCATTTAAATATGAATAGTTCCTATTCCATTCATATTTAAATGAGTTGGACATAAAATAGTAGGTTTATTCCAGTAACCGACGGCCGAAAGTTGCATTCATGAATACAAGCTTAGATAGTTGATATAGGGTACTATTGATCATGATGACATATCTATTTATTATCCATTGCTTGTTCTATTACCATCAATTCTCATTGGGTTAACTCGGTTGTCTAGTGATCAGCTGAAAAGGAGGAAATTACCCAGAATTCCAGGATGAACCTATCTTCATGTAAAATTTGGTTAACTCACTTGTCTATTGATCATTTGAAAATATTCCAGAATTCCAAGGTGAACCTATCTTCATGTAAATATGAACCTCTAGGCTCATTTTTACATGTTCATATGTTCATCTTTGAATTCTGGGTTATTTCCCCCTCTGGATCAGCTGTAGTCATTATTTCCATTGAATCTATCATTGAATTCCCACTTTCACGACTATGCAGCATTTACAATATGATAACTTGTAAGTCTGTAATGTCTAGTCTCATCTATGCACACTACTATACCTTGCATTTGGTGTTCATGAGCAACCCATTTGGCTTATTAGTAATGATTATGTATTTGTTTTTATTTGTCTGTTCCTTATGAATGGTTTATCGGTTGAAAATTAGATGCTAGTAAGACACTTTCAAAAATATATTAAACAATTCAATTAGACAAACAAAGTATCTTATGCATTTCTAGGTGTTAGGTATAGTAGTGTGCTATGGTATATGTTACATACAGTATACATGAATTTGGAGTGTTACATATACAGTAAAACCTGTCTAATCCGAACGCCATTTAGACCGGCTTAAAGCATTCAAATTAGGAGGTGTTCACATTTCGAGGTTTTTGCATTCGCGAAAATCCGGATTGTGAAGAAATGTGAACACATTCTCAGTACATATTCAGTGATTGCGCTAGGCCTTAGTAATTTTGAGTACTTCATACCCAGGTCACATCAAAAAATGGGGTACAAATAATTATTTTGGGGTACTTTTTGAAAATCGCTTCAGCGGGCTTTTGTGGTAAAAAAAATTGTTTATGTCCCCGCATGTACTCATGCATTGCAAGTCATTCCTGTTTACCTTCTTCTGAGGCCTCCACAAAGTCCCTGTAACTTACCTTCCATGGCTAAGGTACCATCCATGGAATCTCCCTCTCCCAAACACCCCAATATTGTTAGAATTTACCTCTCGAGACTAAACTGTAGCTCAAATTCTAATATCATGAAAAAACATAAATCAAGGAGTCATGAACATCTGTAGCCTTCTCGATGTGCCACGCCCACCCTGAAGTGTGGTGATGTGGAACGGCACTTATTATTATCAATTTTTGACGCGAGTTTTACACAAATAACCTGCCTCAATAAATTCCTGAGTGTTTTAGGATTCTTTTTATGTTATTGAATCCCCGATCAAAAAAGTTAATCGGCACAGAACGAAGAAATTATCGTTTTTTCATCGGCGGTTTGGCTATGGACGGGGAATCCCCTTATGACATCCGGGTATGGTGCTTGCATCAGATTGCTGCAGTCGGTAGGCATCAAATTGCCGTGGTTATTTGAATGCAGTCCCACCGATTCAAGTGGCCATTCGAAATATTTAAAAAGAATCTAACATGGTGACCATCTATATTAGGGTTGATTACCTCCATTTACCATGAACGGCACTTATTATTATCAATTTTTGACGCGAGTTTTACACAAATAACCTGCCTCAATAAATTCCTGAGTGTTTTAGGATTCTTTTTATGTTATTGAATCCCCGATCAAAAAAGTTAATCGGCACAGAACGAAGAAATTATCGTTTTTTCATCGGCGGTTTGGCTATGGACGGGGAATCCCCTTATGACATCCGGGTATGGTGCTTGCATCAGATTGCTGCAGTCGGTAGGCATCAAATTGCCGTGGTTATTTGAATGCAGTCCCACCGATTCAAGTGGCCATTCGAAATATTTAAAAAGAATCTAACATGGTGACCATCTATATTAGGGTTGATTACCTCCATTTACCATGAACAAGTTGATTCCTAACGGCTGTACAGTGCAGATTATAAAATAAGCGATCAATTCACACGAACGGTC